GCAAGAAGGACACACCATCCCTCCAAAGGAAGGGAGCAGGGGGGGAACCTCTTCCTTTCCCCTTTTTATGGGGCAGACGTTTGATGCCTAGCTAGCAACATGAATAAAACAGAACTTAGCAGACGGGGAAAGTCGTCAGAGCAGACTTAAGAGCCAACCCCAGCATTCAGGCAGAGAATAAGCACATACTAGAAATCGTATTAGATCAAGTTAATGGATCATCTCAACCCGATTTGATCATTAGACACCTTGCTCTTCGAAACACACTCAGAAAAGACCACCCATTCCCCTTCCCAACATCCCTTTCTTCACGTGATCAGTGCGTCCAAGCCAGAGAAGGTTCTGCTGGCACGTTGGCTCTCCATACAAGCTGGATCTCAACCTTGTAGAGTGGTTCCTTGTCGGAGAGCTGGCCCAAGCCAAGAATTCACCTGGTCGTACAAGACATGGCTCTCCACATGGAGAAAATGACGTTGGGAAGGGCCTAGGTGTGCCTCTCTGAGCATGTTGCTTCAAGGGGGTGACCCGTGTTTAGCGGAGTGACCCACACCTACCTCCCCTTGTTCTTGTTGGGAAGGGCCTAGGCGTGCCTCTCTGAGCATGTTGCTTCAGGGGGGTGACCCGTGCTACGTGTTTAGCAGAGTGACCCACACCTACCTCCCCTTGTTCTCAGCTCTGAAGAAGAGAAGGGCCCTGGTGTTCTGCCTGCTGCAGAATGTGTCGCCCCTTGTCACGGTTACAGATGGCTGCAGCTCCACTTGGTCCTTGCGAGAGAGCCTATGAGAGCCGTCACGCTTACAGCGTTCTGAGCCCGCGGCATCGTTAAGGTCACACCTTGTTAAACATGCAAATTGCAAACAAAATTTAAAAAGGGTTGCTCTCATACTCTCCTTCAGTCCCCCTCCCCCCCTTCTTCCTCCCAAAGTATCCTGTTAATGCTTTTTGGCTCAGGGCCATTACCAGCATAACTAGTTGTTTAATAAGAAGCTGTTTTAGCGATGTACTGGCATTTTCTGGACTGTGTGCATTTCCAAGAGCTGGTTGTAAATTACCCTTTCACTGAAAAATCCAGTGTGGCTTCCATTTTGAAAATCTAGTTGTTCAAGGGTGATGCAGCACATTATGAGTTGGTTTGTGTTCTTCCTTTTTCGCAGGCAGCAACCGATGTGGCTGCAACAGGAATCCATGAGGTTAGACTCAATAGTTTCGTCATCTGGCTATGGAGCCGGAGGTTGGAGGTTCGATTCCCCATTGGGCCTCCTTGACGGGGGTTGGACGCGATGATCCAGAGGGTCCCTTCCAGCTGTACAGCTCTACGAAATGAATGGGAATAGCAGTCATGCAGCAGAGTGAATTCATACCCCATTCCAGTCCTATCTCCCATTTCTGCTCAGAATCAGCCCACTGAATGTGATGCTCTTATCTCCACTCTTCCCCAGCTGTGGGACAAACGGAAATAGGAGTTGCAATAGGAGGAGAATTTCACCAAGAGCCATTGAGAGATGCTGCTAAAGCTAGTTTTGTACTCACTTTCCCTAGATGGCAGCTTGAAACAAGTATCTTAGCTATGTATTTTCACCACTCCATTCGGTTCTGTCTTGGCGATTCTACAGCCATCCTATTCATCTTTTGACTGATTCATTCCCAATCAGAATGTGCCTACATTTACAAAGACAGACTGCTAGATTTGCCCATTCCAAGGGACAGCTGAGATTTTCTTTTCAAGGGGTTTTTCCCCCTAAGAGCAGAGAATTCAAAAATGGAACATGGAGAAGCTGACCGCCTGGCCAGCTTTCCTCAACTTGGCCATGTCTGTATTTGTCCTTTCCGCATCCTCCCACTCAGGAGTGACCCAAGGTGCTTGGTGGGTGGACAACTAGCTGGCACCTGACGGGTTCCACCTACAAAGACTGATTGGACTGGCGCTGAATTATTTCTTCAGCACGGTAATGACTCTTCTGGTGGCACAATCTGGACTCTGTGTCATTTTTAATCCAAGAAGAAAATGGAGCACATAATTCCCTTTATTACAACAGCTTCACTGACTGCCAGTCTTTTTCTGGCCATGATTCAAAGTGTTGGAGATCACCTTTAAAGCCCTATATGCCTTAGGTCCAGGCTACTTGAAGGATTGTCTCACCCCATATGTGCCTTCCTGGCTTTGAAGATCTTTTGGGAGGCTGTCCTCTCAGTTCCACCCCCTTCCTAAGCTCCTTTGGTGAAGGAGACACAAGAGAGGGCCTTCTCGGTGGTAGCTCCCAAGTTTTGGAATTCACTGCCCCAAGAAACCAAGCTGGCCTCCCTCCCTCTGGTCCTTCCATCTTCAGGTGAAGACCTTCCTCTTCGGGCAGACTTTTAAGCAATAAGTGGGAGTCTGGGGAATGCAAACCTAACGTTTGAAAAGCATATAAAAATAAGAGTAGATAAATAGGAATCACCGCGGTGGGAAGGTAGCGCCATTCCATGTCTAGTCACGCTGGCCACGTGACCACGGAAACTGTCTACGGAGAAACGCTGGCTCTACGGCTTGGAGATGGGGATGAGCACTGCACCCTAGAGTCGGACACAACTGGACTAAATGTCAAGGGGAAACTTTACCTTTAGGGAATGCTGTATTTATGAAATTTAGATCTTTTTAATGTTTTTAAATGTTTTCTAAAGATGTTTTAATCTTGATTAATATAGTTTTGTATAGTTTTTAAATTTATTATATGGTTTTAATGGTTTGTCTGTAGTTTTGTATAGTTTCTAAATTTATTATATGGTTTTAATGGTTTGTTAGCCACTGTGGGTCCCCTACGTGGAGGAAGATGGCATATAAATGGTTTTTTAAAAAGTTTATTCAAGAGAAAGACACACAAGAGGGTGGGGAAGCTCAAAATTACAAGCCATCATGTTCTTGTTAGCTGAAATTTAATGTACTTTTCCTTCTCCTTTTATAGTTTAAGCACAAACAGTTCTATAAAGACGTCTGTCTGGACACTGCCTGGATGTATTTGGCTTCACAGCTTCCTCGCAGAAAGTACTGCCCTTCAGCACAGCTTTTAAGGAACTACCTCATAAGTCTCACATTTTCTCCTTCTGATCCCGCTCTGCCTCTGACTTTAACTCAAATCTGTCTCTTCTTAATCGTACCCTTTTCTGTCTCTAACTCAAAGAAAATCAAATAATATAATAATCTTAGAACAGCAGAGCTGGAACCAACCTTATAAATCATCCAGTTCAGCCCTTTGACAGGGAGAGACAGTGGGGGGAATCGAACTCCCATCATCTGGTTCTGCAGCCAGATGCCGAAACCACTGAGCTATCCAGCAGTGAAATGGCTGTCACTCAAATATGCTCCTTGTATGTACAGTATGATCCCCCCCATCCATGGGATTGGTATCTACTGATTCACTTATCTGCTAACTGAAAAAACTAAATAGAAACCCCCAGAAATACATGTTTATAATTATTTCCAGAGTGTATTTACTAGAACTGGTCACTAGAGGGTGCTCGAGATCATGCAATGTGTAGTGTTCGATTGTTGTTGTTGTTTAGTCGTTAAGTTGAGTCCGACTCTTCGTGACCCCATGGACCAGAGCACGCCAGGCCCTCCTGTCTTCCACTGCCTCCCGGAGTTGGGTCAAATGCATGTTGGTCGCTTCAATGACCCTGTCCAACCATCTTGTCCTCTGTCGTTCCCTTCAATTTCTTTGTCAATTTCTAAGGCTAAGGATGTCAATTTCCAAGGATAAGGGTGTCAATTTCCAAAGCTAAGGATGTCAATTTCTAAGGATGTCAATTTCCAAGTGACACCTCTGCTCACTGCTCTCTCCACCAACAGCTTTCGACCCTTTGCCAGCATCTTCTGCCTGAGGATGATCTGCTCCCCGATGGAGGAGCTGAGGCTTCGAGAGAAAAGCTTCCAAATTTGCGACCGCACGGCAAAGAGACGGTCCGAGCTGCGGATTTCAGGACCAACATATTTAAGCACAAAATACACCGTGCGCCAGAAAAGGGGGGAGGGTTTGTTTAATGTCTTTATTTTCTTTCACAATAATAAAAAAATAAATTAGTCATAAGCAAAAATATCAAACTTTGTTTTTCTCCATCAGAGAAAATGTGTACAAATATGAAAAAGTATACTGTACAGATGTGGTTCAGGCGAATTGCTGGCATACATGCTCCTGAACTAGTCTATAAGTACTTTTAACTTATACATCTCCCATTTTTTAAAAAAAATCCATTTGTAGAGGTGGATTATTAACCATCAAATAAAGAAACCATTAACTATGGATTTACAGTATGATACTTATATATGTAAATCTGGTATAAAACCCCAGACCGAAGGCTGGTTAGTACTGGCAAAAGAAATGGACAAGAATGTAGATGACCTATATAAATAAATACATTTTAGTCCCTTCTTCTTGTTGCTGTTGTTAAAAACAAAAACGCACACAACAAAATCTGATATTCTAAATAATAGAACAATCTCAGTGAAGTGGCTTATTCCATATAGACATAGCTCAGAATACATACTTTCCTATAAACATCTTGTATTTACAAATATAAAAAATAAGTTATAACAAACTATATCCTTCCTTGTTTCACATAAAATGGCCAGAATCCTGTTAGTGATGTTCACTGGTGTAACTTGGTTGGCATAAATGTTAGTGGCAAAATCCTCCAAGTTTAGAAGTCAGCATAGGCATCTACTGTTGTGCACTCAGTCATGTGACCTGCAGTGCTACAGTAGATACCTATGTTGACTTCTAAACTTGCAGGACACACTGTTGAAATTTAAGCCCTTTGAGTTGTTGTTTAGTCATTAAGTCGTGTCCGACTCTTCGTGACCCCATGGACCAGAGCACACCAGGCCCTCCTGTCTTCTACTGCCTCCCGGAGTTGGGTCAAATTCATGTTGGTCGCTTTGGTGACCCTGTCCATCCATCTCGTCCTATGTCATCCCCTTCTCCTCTTGCCGTCACACTTTCCCAACATCAGGGTCTTTTTCCAGGGAGTCTTCTCTTCTCATGAGATGGTCAAAGTATTAGACCCTCAGCTTCACGATCTGTCCTTCCAGTGAGCACTCACTGGAACCTTTGAATTACACCTGCATAAAGGCATAATAGGATTCCAGGCACTGAAATCTCTCAGGATTTCAGGGTTAAATCCTGCTAGATTTTTATGAGCCCCTTGGTTGAGGAAGAACTATTCCCTTGTCCCCAAATTCATTCAGAATAAGAAGAGCTAGTCCCTACACCCATCACCAATGGAAAATTGCTGGGCTTACTGTTGAGCTGGCATGAATCTATTTCTGAGCTGGGTAATCAGATTAAAATATGAGCAAGAGAAGAATTCAGGGAGTAATAACACTCAATTTCAAGGAGTCATTTCCAAGTGATGAAATGAGTGTCTCCATGCTAACGCCTGAAATCCTGTTGGCATTACTAATGCTTGTGGAAGGGTGATGACATCATAAGCTGGGAGAGGACTTTTGGTAATTGAAAACTCCTTACTTTTGTCCCATAACTTTTTCAACTCCCGTGCAATCCCTTTACTTGTGTAGAAGCGGTAGGAGCCACAGGACGGAAGGAGGAAGTCTTTCATAACTGAAAATCACTGCTAACAGATGACATTATGGGGAAGAAGCAATTTGAGGTAATCAAAGGCTTTATAAAAGACCATTCTGCAGTTATATGACCCACAACAGGATTTCATGCACCATCTACTCCTGACAAACTCACTTCTTTTGAGGTCTGTATCAAAAGGACCATTGTTCAAGAATTTTGTTTGGTCTTTCTCTTTGGGTGGCCCAGCCTGATCTGGACATTTAGAGCACTATTTACTCCAGACTGCATATTTCTCTGAACATTGAAACACAGTTCTTTGTTTCAGTATTGCATGCAAAAATGCTTCTCTTAGTGAACACTGCGTACAAAAATGTGTATGTTATGAGAATGTGTGAATAAAATCCCCCAAAATGTGATGTGGAAATCTGTACATAGAACGAAAATCAGTACGAATGGTCAGGATTTTTTTTAAAAAGGCATAAAGAAATTGTATGGAACAGATTTACCTGGGAAGGGAGGGAAGACCAGAGACAGACTGTTTTCTTCCCTAATCAAAAGTCAGAAGCAGTTACTCATTTACATCGACATAGCTGTGTTTAAACTGAAACAATATGCACTTAACTCACAATCTCTTCTAAAAGTAAAATTACCGAAATGCCATTGTTCTCTCCACTGATGAAAAATGACAGGCAGAACTTTTTATGCAATGGTGTTACAAATGAAATGTGTCAGGTTTTGAAGAGTGGTTTGCCATATTGTGGAAGAAAGAAATGGAGAGGTTCAAAAGAAGAACGCTTAAATTAACTTGCTCGTTTGCTACAAATCAATTGAAGGAATTGGAAAATGACATTTTTGCAGAACTGTTGAGGCTGATGGGTGAGGTACATCCTAGAAATCATTTCTCTTCTCTCCATTCGTAATAATGTATTTTATTAAGTTGAAGATGAAAGAACTCACCAAATGTTGAATGCCTAGCCAGATAATGGGGCCAAATGAAGCTCAAATAATCAGTGGGGATGTGGCTATACAATTGGATTTTCTTTCCCTTCCTTTCAATCCTTGACCATGAAAAGCAAAGCAGTGAGTTTAAGGCCCACTCTTGTCCTTGGCTCACCATGCTCATTATATGCCTATGGAGGATGCGCATTTTGTGCAAAGTCTCGTATTTTTTGCAAAATGCAAGGTTTTGGTACCGAAACATGCCTGCCCCTTTTTGCAAAGAAACCTGCCCCCCAATGTGAAAATTTTATTTAAAAAACCCTTGCCATCTCATCCAGGGCAGAGAAAATGTGGCAGGACCTTAGGAGGATTTTCTGTTGTGGATCATGAATCATTTGGAAACGAGCTGTGTAGTTATTTTGATGTGGCTTCCTAGAAGCCAAGTGGCTGCATCCAGATTTGGCCTTGTGGTGGCTCTGCTGAAGTTCAGAAAGGAAAGCAATTCCGCTGCAGTGCTGGTGCGCTCTGGATATCTGCTGCAGAGGGCTTCAAAACTACTTGGAGGAAGTTTTCGGAAGACTTAGACATCAGGGACCTGGCTGGAGTCAGGGGCCAGAAGTTCAAATCTCCACGGTGCCACCTGGGAGAGGAGCCACTGTGGATGATGGCATCATGTATCTTGTGTGATCTTGAGTGAGCTGCACAATTCCAGACCACCACCAAAAGGAGAGGCTGGCCTATGAATACTGTATGCACCGCTTTGTCTAGAAAATCATGGAATGCTGGTGATAAGTCGGCATTGATGTGACTTCATGCAATTCATCAATTAGCATGCCAACCGCAGGGTGAGGAAAGGGGAAGGACTGATGGGTTTAATCGTTAGCTTGATATCACTTTCCATGTCACTGTACTCATTCAGCTGGTGTGCCCTGATAGAAACACATCAAAGAGGCACATCCAGCCCTAATCAAAATCTCAACCTTAGTGTCGTCGCTTTGGGATGTAAATCCATTCTCGTCTCACATCTGCATGTAAAGTTGGGGGAATCGCAACATTTTTCTGCGTGCCTATGAGAGAGAGAGCGAGTGAGAGAGAGATTTTTCCGGTACTGCTCATGAGAGTTGTCACGCCGGTGAAAACAATGGCATGTGCACAAAGTGTGACTTAGGCAAATGGTAAAAAATGTGCAAAATTGTGCAATTCAATGAGAGCTGGATTGCTGCGTGGCTTTTCTAAAAGCCTTAAATGGGTTGCTTGCATCTTTTTCAACACACAGCCAGACATTTGGAGCTTGCTGTGTGCAGACGCTTTGCTTTACGAAAGGAAAGGATACCAAGTTTTGCACAGACTGCCCCGAAGGCATGTTGAGCAAACCACAGAAACCTTGAACAATTCCTGTTGTCTTTAAAAGATTAAGTACAGAATAACGTGGCGAAAAATGCTTGCTCGCTGTTTTGTAATTCTGAGTTGTCCCAATCAGGATCTTACATTATGTCCACATAAGGATGACCATCATAATCCCCAAACGGAACAATTCATTCATCTTCCAAGAAATACTGCCACTAGGTTGTTCCTAATGCTCTTTCAAAGACCCCTGCTTTACTGTGTCAATTTCCCAAACAGAGAGCTTTCATAATATAGCAGCCAGGATCCTGTAGTGTCGTTCCGCCTGCACAACAAGTACGTCCTTGTTGTCAGCAGCAGCTGCCACTGAATGAAGACTTCGCATTTGTATTTTGGGATGCCCCCAACTTTGTCTCATGGCGCACAATGGTGCATCCCCTAGGACTGCAATAAAAGGAAGACTTCAATCAGCAGCAATTTGCCTCTGACTTCATTCCCATTATGCAGGCGGAACAATGCAGCAGGATACTGCTGGGCATGTGTTGGTGAAATCAAAGTGGTGTGCATTCCTCTCACCCTTGGGGGTGCTCACCGACAGAAGGAATCTTTCTTTGAGAAGGTAGAATTCGTTGCAGCCCCAGAAGCTCCCAAGGTCCAAAGAAAAAGGCGGGATACAAACGACGGAGCGGCTGTTATCTGCGTCCCAGAAAGCCCGACTGCCGGCTGGCCACTCTCAAACAAGATACACAGCACACTGTCTTGTAATAAGTGTAAACACAGAGCCGGGCTTGAACCACAACGTTGCAGTTGTAATATCTATCTTGGCAGTTTTCATCTGGAAAGAAACAGAGATAAGAGTGTACGGCCATTAATCTTCACTCGTCTTGCGCAGGAACGAGAACCAGCAAGGGTCCCTTTACACACACAAAGGAAAGGACACGTTCTGCTTGTTTCAACCAGAGTTTTGCATTTCTGAGAATTCTGGGCTTCTCAATGTGTCCCAAAGCCACAATAATAAACCTTAAAATTAAGACTACACGGTTAATCATATCCTGTCCCCTGACATTTCAGAACCTGGAGAACCAACCTCCAAAGCTGAGGGCCAACGCTTGAGACCCGATGACTCTACTAGCTGCTTGTTCTTCCTCCTGACCTACCTTACAGGGCTGTTATGAAGATATATATGGAAGGGGAAAGAAAGCCATGGGCGTGACTTTGAGCTCAAACTCTGGCTCCACAGTCAGATACCTAAACCTCTGAACTATCCAGAAAGTTGGACGTCCTCATGGTTATTCTGGCACGGCAGCTCTGAACAGCAACGCTGCCCCACTTTCTTTCCCGTATGTTTAAACTCGAATGAGCTGCTCTTAACAACCTCTGCCCCCCTCCCCACGTTCCCTCATGACATAGCCAAAATGCTTCAGCTCTCCGATTTCTTGGTCTTTATTCCTTCATCTTAGGACTTCTTCATTGGTTACCCTCTTGATGCAAGACACGCTGAGCATCCTGCCGCCCTTGCAATAGCAGAAGAAATACAGAACCATCCTGATTCCTGATGATTTCATCTCATTGGCTTTTTCAAACCATGCAAGTGGAGAGGCCTCCCTGTATCTTGTGGCAGGGAATTCCACAGGTTGGAAAATTCCACCACGTGCTGTGTGAAACAGAACCACCTTTGATCGGAACGGAATTTTTCACCATTTTGCTTCAGCTGAAGGCTGAAGCTTCTGAAGTTCTGTGTGTGTGAGAGAGAGATTGCACTGTTTGATATTCTTCTTATCTTGCTCCCTCTTGTTGCCTTATTATAAATTCTAGGGAAGATCCTGTTCCCATAATAGAGCTGCTGAGCCCCTCGCTTGTTCTAGGGTGCAATCAGGCAACGATTTAGCTCACTTTCTGGACCACCGAGGGCACTGTCTGGTTCGAGCTATTTCCCACAACCAGGCGATATACAGAAGATAGTGAACCAGCCGGACCCCGTTTGGTGCAGGTGAGACCTAAATTACTCCAAGCATGGTTACAACTTAGATGTGGACGGTTACACCTCAGTCATCGTGGCAACTGGATGAATAAGCAAATCAGGTTCAAAACAATCCCTTTTCAGCCGCAGCAGAGAGCCACTCATGGAACCTCTTATAGAGACCGCCGACTGTCTTCTGAAACTTTTCAGAACTTGTCCCAAAACTGGACTCCACCAAAGCAAACATTTGAGAAGGCAGTGGGGCGTTTCCACGGAACAAGATACCAAAACACACTGCAATGCTGCCACTTTAAAATTCAATTTTACATATCTTATTTTTTCCACAGAGGCGTTAAGATTCCTCAGATTCCAGGACCCTCCAAAGCAAACTTCATTTTTCAAAAACATCTCTTGCTCAAAAACAAAAATCCAAACCCCGAGGACCAAATCAAAGCCCCTGTTTGGTTTCCCAAAGAGACCTTGTTATTTTGATTCGGTTTTATAAATATGCGTGGGCGTGTAAAGGTGAATATTTTTTTTTGCCAAAATAAATGAGCCTCTTTCGAAATGCATGAAACGAGGGCAACGAAGCTGACCTCAAGACGGCCTACAAGAGGCCTTAGTGGTTTTAAATTTATTTTCTCTCCACCAGGTGGAGTTCCACGGTCAGAGTAAGTACAGCTTGGTCCTTACCTGTTTCGGGCACACAGTCTTGAGTGTTGCACGTCTCTTTTTCTTCCGGCTTTAGCTGCTGGTCGCAGGTGGCGCTGGGGGTCATGTCATCGGAAAGACAGCGCACCTCTCGGAGGCGGAAGCCCCCCTCGCAGGATTTTGAGCACTGCAAGGCACAAACGGCAACTTGTGATGAGGAGGACTGAAAGGAAGAGATCTCTCTCAAAGGGACAGGGCGATAATCCTGTACAAGATGAAGGATCTCGGTGGCAAACAGAAGAATCAACCAATAGGAATCCTGTGAATTGTTAATTCTTAGCTTCAGAATGACAAAGATGCAGACTGAACACATCATGATAAGAAGAGGGAGGGAAGACGTCTTGACGTCTTGAGCCCACCTTGGAGGCAAGGGCTCCCCTGGCAGTTCGGGGATGCTTGGCAGGTGTCAGTATGTCAAGACAATCTGACCCTACCATGAACAAGCCATTCACAGAATTGGTCCATATTTACCGCAGCTACACTGAAAAACTACCTTTGTGTTGCTAGGTCAAATTTGTAAGTCGTGCCGAAAACACAAATTTATAAGCTGTGCCAAAAGCACAAATTTGTAAGTAAGTGCCGAAAACACAAATTTGAGAGTAGTCAAAAAACACATGCTTTATTTGAAAATCTCCCCAGGAAAAAGGGCGATCCAATTCGCTGGGTGGACAAAAAGTCTCGGACGAGATTAAGTGGCCAGAATCCTATCACCCATCTACATTTGCGGGAGGTATATGACGCAAGTCTTGGTTGCAAATGGCTGCTCGTTAGTAAAGTGCCAGCTGGCTGGATAGTTTAGTGGCTTAAGTATCTTCAGAAGCATAGCCAGCCTGGGTGGCCGTGGGCAAGCTGGGCAGTCCCAGGGCACCCCCAGGAGAAGGGGTGAACCACTTCTGAGGACTCTCTAGCTGGGCAACCCCGAAAAGGGTCACCGTAAGTCAGAATTAACCTGATGGCACATCTTATGAATAAGATGCAATTTGCTTTGCTGGACACGGTGTGATCTGAGGAGAAGGGAAGGGTGAACCACTTCTGAACCCCGAAAAGGGTCACTGTAAGTCAGAATTAACTTGATGGCACATCTTATGAATAGATGAAATTTGCTTTGCTGGACACGGTGTGATCTGGCACCACTGAGCACCGAGGTGCTGCCAAAATGTTCGCAATGTCCTTTATACCACAGTAAATCATCAGGAGGACTCTGGCCGGTATTAAAAATAAAAGTTCTCTTTTATGATGGCTCCCTTGTTTTTCTGTACAAGGTTATTCTTCCCAGATGGGCTTTAAGGCTGAAATACCATTTTCACGGTTCCTCTTGGTCGACCCCACAAGCTTGGCCCTCTCATAAAGCTTCCAAGACAAAATCTCAAGGTCCTCAAGGTGGGTTTCCTCCCATTCTTCAAACTGAGTTGCATATACATTTCCCTCTACCTGCCCTCCCAAGTCAAATGAGATTTCCAAGGAAATAAACAGGAATGCTCAGAAAGGCAAAAACTGTAAATTAATCCCCAGGTTGGAATTCGGTCGGAGGGGGGGCACAGAGCCGAAGGGGTCTAACTAGCCCTTTTGGCTAGCAGCTCTTGCTCTCACCCATTCTGTCACGAGGCAGGGATGTGCCCCCCCCCAAAAAAAGGTCGAGGAGAAAGCGAATCATGGAAGCTTTCAATGGCAGAGCCGAGAAGGACTCTCTTCAGTCCAGCCCTTCTCAGAGAGACGCAGAAGAGAATCAAACTCCCAACCTCTGGCTCCAGAGCCAGAGCCCTGAGCCAGTTTTTATTTTTAAAGAAAATAAAAAGAAGAGAGTGCCAGGAGTTATTGCCATTCCATCATCATCATCATCTTAGCTGGAAGGGGGGAAGAGGTTGTAGCAATGGGCGCAGCCCTCCAAGGACCCCAAAATGCCCCTCTGCAGTTCCTGGACCCCTGGAGGTTGTCCACCCCAATTCAAAGAGAGAGGAAAGATGGGAAACCACTTACCGTGCTCCATTCAGTACTAAACCATTTGGCACCACATGGCTTGAGGTAGCAGGTCTGTTGGCTGGGAGGTCTTTCCAAGAAGGCGCAGTCATACGGACTCAACAGATCAAAACTATTTTCGGTCTTTCTGATACAAAGGACTTCCCTCTGTTGGGTTCCGCTCCCACATTCCATGGAACACTGGACCAGGAGACAAAAAAGCAAAGACTGTGATCGATGTCGTAGGTAACTCATCTAAAATCTGTTCTTTAAAGAAGCCTTTATATTTATTCTTTAATATTATTCTTGACTCTCATGAGAAGAGAAGACTCCCTGGAGAAGACCCTGATGTTGGGAAAGAGTGAAGGCAAGAGGAGAAGGGGACGACAGAGGACAAGATGGATGGACAGGGTCACCAAAGAGACCATCATGAATGTAACCCAACTCCGGGAGGAAGTGGAAGACAGGAGGGCCTGGCATGCTCTGGTCCATGGGGCCACGAAGAGTCGGACATGACTAAACAACAACAATCATTCTTTACATTTATTCTTTGAGGCTTTATACTGCAAAAGCTTTCTCTCACTTGAATGCAAAATACAGGAAAAACAACAATATTGTCCACCCAGGTCTTAAATGAAGATCCAACTTTGAAATGATCCATGCATGTGGTTAGGAGCCATGGCAGAAGTGTGTCAGAGCAGATCGCTGGGTTTATTATTTTTGAACATGAAAAAGGACAACATGGCAACAACTTCCTACATGCCAAAATACAAGGGGACATTATAGAATGTAAACATGGGAGTTTCTGTGTTTAAACCAACTGCTGAGCACTGATTAATTCCACTTAGACTCTTTGTATTTACGGCTGCTGGATTCTTGGCGGCCGGCACGCCTCTTTCGACTTCAGCGCTACTTCGCTTTAATCAGAAAGATTAATTGATTTTGCTCAGAAAGCAAAATATACAAGAGTCTCAGAGCTTCGTGTTTAATAATGCTTGACTTTCACAGAGGAATGGCGTCGGTTGTGAAAGTCAACCCAACACAGCGTCATCTTGTCGCTCTACAGGAAGAAACACTTGTGTATCACTTTCAGGATCAAATGCTACAGAAACAGTGTCTGGCCACCAGGACTTTCTCCAGCAACTGTTTCGTTTTTAATTTAATTCGTCCACTTCTTTGTATGCACTAGGATTTCACTCTGCCGTTCCTCCAGCAGTAAACAGACTGTGAGATGTGTTCATTCCGAGCACTCTCCTTTTTCATTGGAATCCCTGACTGGATCTTCTTTCAGCCAGTTCTTGAGTTAAGTAATCTGTATACAGCTAAAATCATCATCATCATCTTAGAACAGCCAAGCTGGAAGGGACCCTCTGGATCATCGAGTTCAGCCCATGTAAAGAAGGCTCAGTGGGGAATCAAACTCCCAACCTCTGGCTCTGTGGCCAGAGACCCCAACCCCTGAGCTATCCAGCAATTCATGGTTTATAACACCAGATTGTTTTCACCTTAATCCATTTTAATGCTTTGCCTCCCCATCCTTTCCAAACGTTTGGCCCACGTAGCTACTAAGAGGTTGAATCAATGGAGGGTGCCATTCTCCTCTGCATTCTACATCCAGAGGTTCGCCAGTCAAGGATCATTCTGCTAATTGCCACTGTATTCAGACGGTCTGCCCAGTTTTGCTCTGAACATTGCTGTCCAGAATCTTGTCATTTACATACACTGGCGCATGACCAGGAATACAAGCATCAACACCTTAACTAAGGGCAATTTGCTGCTTGATGCTCATGGAGCCTCCATGTTCAGCAAGCCATAGAATGTTAGACCAAGGAGAGTGGAGACAAGCCATTGACGAATCCCTATTTTTAGGCTTCCTGGAAACACCAGGATGTCCACATTTTTTTAAAAAAAATATTCAGAATTAGTTGGGCTTTGATCTGAAGCCCAGCAGAGCATTTTCTTTTGTTCTTAGCCATGATTGCTAATTAGAACCTTATTCAGAGGTAGGATCTTCATCCAGAAGTTCCCCATCACTGGAGGAGGAAACAGCTGGAAACCACTATTCCTTACGGAATTCTGTTCAGTTCTGAAATACAGTTTTAAAAGGATCCAACCCAAAAGATGAACAGATGTAACAATAAAGTGAAATCAGAGAAGAAATCAAGAAAATCAGGCTTATGATCCTACCTGTATGCTTTGCCCTACTTCCAACATGTCCCCCTCTGGGTGGTTATTGACCACGTCAGTGAGCTGTAGTTCAACATGCCTCCAGGGCACCAAGGTGGAGAAGACTGTCATATTTTAACATGGATGTGATTGTGAGGGAAACAATAAAACAGCAGAATAAAGAGCTCACTGTTTTGATCTCCAGAAGGGAAGCTCCCAACTAACATTGAGTCAATAACAGGAAGCTTGGGTGGAACTAGGCCTACATAACCCCCAAAGCCTTCCTGTTGAGGCCTTTTCTCCCAGGCGAGTCACACTGAGGTGTCCGTAAAGTGTGTGTAGGTTTGGCAGAAATCCGAGAACGGGGAATTGTGGGATTTGAGGTCCAGGAAAACTGAAAATCCCATCCCTAATGAGCAACAGATTTCTTGCTGGCGTTTCCAGGATGGAGTGAACTTCTGTCTGCTCTCACCTAAGCCTGCAGATAATTTAAGGCAAAGAAAGGCTATCAGATGAATAACGTTCGGCGCTGATTCCACAGATATCAACCCTCAAATCTGGTAACAAATTCAAATCGGTTTCGAAATAAAGCACTGTGTTCTTGTTCTTGTCGCCATTCATCAGTACATGGAAGCATTTGTCAAAAAGAAGAGACATGAGTTCCTTCGGTGAAATTCCTTGGCGGGGGAACACATTTTTGTTAAGCGTCCAGACTCTGAGGTGAGATTTCAGCTTTGCTTACTTCCCAAAACCCTCATGCTGTGTAATATTTGGGAAGGGTTACAAAACCACCAGGGTGTTCTTTTCATCTCTGTAATGTACTCTTGAGCAACGGGTGTGGATCCCAATTCTGAAATGCAAATTTTGGCTCACAGAGCCCTTGACACCATCTTTAAAGGTTAAATACACAGGCCCAACACTGTTTTCTGGCACTTTTTGAAAAAGGTCTTTAGAAGACAAATCCAGCAATATATTGGTTTCCATGTCACTAGTAAGGGCATGATCTCCAAAGCCTTTTCCCCTTTTAATGCGGAGCACAATTGCCTGTTATTTTAAAGGGGGGAGGGAGGCATTATTTATACTTGGGGTTGAATTTTTGTAATATCCTGAATAGAGGCTTATTCACACTCCCAGGGAAATGTATAGCTTCACCATGTCCTAGGCAAAATCAACACACACACTTTCTGGAGGGTATCTCAAAGAACATACCACACTGAACAAGGCCTGAAATAATGGAAAGCCTTTAAAGACATGTTATTCCTAAGGCATTCGGGGCCATGTGGGTCATGATCCAGCCTGAACCACTTTTAAATGGGCACGGTAAAGGTAAAGGTTTCCCTTCACATTTAGTCCAGTCGTGTACGACTCTAAGGCACGGATTCTCATCCCCGTTTCCAAGCGCAGAGCCAGCGTTTGTCTGAAGACAATCTTCCGTGGTCACGTGGTCAGTGCGACTAGACACGGAACGCCGTTACCTTCCCACCAAGGTGGTCCCTATTTATCTACTTGCATCTTTACATGCTTTCGAACTGCTAGGTTGGCAGAAGCTGGGACAAGCGACGGGGGCTCTCACTCCGTCGCATGGATTTGATCTTACGGCGGCTGGTCTTCTGACCTTGCAGCACAGAGGCTTCTGCGGTTTGACCCGCAGCGCCACCACGGTACTGCTCTGAAACAGCCATCTCATAGAACAAAGGTAAGCCGACCTTCTCTACTGCCTCCAAAGGAAAGATCTAACAGGCTTAAATTCTTAGTAGGTGAGATATGTTTTTCTCCTTTGGCACTGCTGCCCAACTCTCCACCGCCAAACGGCACTTTGCCCGCGTTTCAAAAACCTGGCAAAGTGGCGATCCAGTGCAGGAATCTTAACAGTGGAAGCAAAGCCTCTCAAGTGTTGTTGTCTTGGAACCTGTCGAAATCCGAGGTGCGGGCGGATGGTGACCACAGTCTCAAAACTTAGGAAAACCTGCTTGGTTTTCTTCCAGAGGGCTGAGAGGTTGGGTTTGAAGGCAACAGGTTCACGCCAGATAGTGTCGTAGGCATAAACCCGCATGGTAGACTTCCATGTATCGGTTGCTGGAGAACATAGGGAGGAAGGTGGTTCTGTTCTCCTGTCTGGCTTCAAGGCTTCCCTCTGGGTCCTCTGGCTGGTCTCTGTAGCAACAGGATGCTCGCCTAGTCTAAGCAGACCTTTGGACGGATCGACCACAGCTATTCTTACATCCTGAACCCAGTAGAAGTCCAGGTGGCAACACTTTATGGTTTCTCCTCGAACTGCTCAGTGGTTTTGAGTAGATGTCATCCCAATTTCCTTGAAATTTTCCATTCAGAAACAACTGCTCTAGATGACAGATATATAGTGTGGAAATTGCGATGCAACCATTTTGTATTATGTATGGCCATTCCTTAATGAAACCAGTTGGAGGGAGACAATGAGACCGTGCATTAAAGATGCCCACAAATCAAACACTGAGAGGTAGGTTTCTTCCATTCTTCTGTATGAATCAATCTTACATACACTTTTTTTTCTGTGTGTGGTTGTGTGTGTACTGTAGCTAACAGAGGAGAATTAAAGTATTATGGGTTTTAAAATGTCTGTGGGTGCATATTCCTGAAGAATTTATTGCTTTAGAGAAATAAATTAGACGCCTGAGGCAATATGGTAGATTTATGGATAAACTCTGTGTGGGTGCTCAAGAGTTCAAGAAATAATTCCTGTTAACAGCATTGTAAATTGTTAGGCCTGGAGGAGATTAACTCTTCCCGTGCCAGTTCACTAAACAAAACCTTCCCGCAGGTCCTACTATTTTCAGCCTAGGATTGCCATTTTTGGATAGGATGTTTACACAAGGGAGACAAGATTTGAGAGGGCTCGAGCTTAACGTTGGGGCAACTGCAAGTCTTGGCACATGAGGGAGACAAGATTTGAGGGACTTACGTTGGGGCAACTGCAAGTCTTGGCACATAAAAAAACACACACAAATGGTCTTTTCAGAATTGTTTAACTCGCCGTATTCTACGAGGCCTGCTTGACGATCTTATGAAACAGTGATTTAAAAATTATATTCCTTCTGAAAGTTTGAGGAGAGGTGTTATTAAATCAGGTCTCTTTCTTCTGGACACAGTGGGGGCGGGAATGCTGGGTTGTGCTATGATTTCATAATGGCCGCATCTCGAGTACTACATTGAGTTCTGGACACCACACTTCAAGAAGGATGCTGACAAATTGGAACAAGTTCAGAGGAGGGCAACAAGGATGATCAGGGAGCTGGAAATGCTAAAAGAAAAGCTAAAAGAAATGGGCATGTTGAGCCTTAAGAGAAGAAGATTGAGGGGAGACAGGATTTTGAAAGTTTGAGGAGAGGTGTTCTTAAATCAGGTCTCTTTCCTCTGGACACAGTGGGGGCGGGAATGCTGGGTTGCGCTGTGATTTCATAATGGCCGCATCTCGAGTACTACATTGAGTTCTGGACACCACACTTCAAGAAGGATGCTGACAAATTGGAACAAGTTCAGAGGAGGGCAACAAGGATGATCAGGGAGCTGGAAATGCTAAAAGAAAAGCTAAAAGAAATGGGCATGTTGAGCTCAGGGAGCTGGAAACGCTAAAGGAAAAGCTAAAAGAAATGGGCATGTTGAGCCTTAAGAGAAGAAGATTGAGGGGAGACAGGATAGCACCTTTCAAATACTTCAAAGGTAGTTCTACAGCGGAGGGGCAGGATCTGTTCTCAATCATCCTCGAGTGCAGGGCACATAATAAAGGGCTCAGGCTACAGGAAGCCAGATTTTGGATGAATATCAGGAAAAACTTCTTAACTGTTAGAGCAGTATGACCATGGAGCCCATGACCTCCAATGCGCCAACACTGGAAACATTCAAGAGAATGTTGGACATCCATTTCTCAGGGTTGTTTTGATATGGATTCCTGCCTTGAGCAGGGAAGCCAGATTTTGGATGAATATCAGGAAAAAACTTCTTAACTGTTAGAGCAGTACGACAATGGAACCATGACCTCCAATGCGCCAACGCTGGAAACATTCAAGAGAATGTTGGACCTCCATTTCTCAGGGTTGTTTTGATTTGGATTCCTGCCTTGAGCAGGGAGTTAGAGTCAATGGCTTTTTAAACCACTTCAGCTCCATTATTCTATGATTCATACCATAGATTTCTGTGAAATTCTGCATTGCCAGATCCGTTGCCTTTGTTTCTGTTCACCTAGCTGATCACTAATCTAATTTAGATCACTTTCCCCACAAAATATTAAGGAAGGGAAAGGAAATGCGTTCAACTCTATTCCATGAAATCTTAAAGTTTTCTTATCCATATAATATGCTCACAGAACCATAAAATTATAGAATAATGGAGTTAGAAGGGGCCTAAAGGGCTACCGAATCCAACCCTCTGCTCAAGGCAGGAATCCAAATCAAAGCAGATCTGACAGAGGGTTGCCCAGTTTTCTCTTGAAGGCCTCCAGAGTTGGAGAGTTGGAGCCTGGATCCAACCTGTAGAACAGGTAGATGGTTCCCGGACAAAGCAAAAGCTGTTCGGACTGGATCAATGTTTAAAATGAAGAGGGAAGAAAAGCCACACTGCATTCTGAATGCCACCTGCATCCTTGGTTGGTGAATAAGTGTTCAAAAGGGGAAAAGGGAAGCTGAACTTTGCTTTGTGGCAGCCATGCCATGCAATCCGAGCCCAACGGTTTGCTTCAGTTATCTGTGAAATGTCTAGCGTGCAAGGTTCCCCTTGACATTTAGTCCCGTCGTGTCTGACTCTAGGGGGGGGTGCTCATCCCTGTCTCCAAGCCGTACAGCCAGCGTTTGTCCATAGACAGTTTCCATGGTCACGTGGCCAGCATGGCTTAGACACGGAACGCTGTTACCTTCCCACCGAGGGGGTACCTATTTATCTACTCACATTTTTACATGCTTTCGAACTGCTAGGTTGGCAGGGGCTGGGACAAGCGACCGGCACTCACTCCATCACGTGGATTCGATCTTACAACGGCTGGTCTTCTGACCTTGCAGCACGAAGGCTTCTGCGGTTTAACCCGCAGCACCACCACATCCCTTGCTTGTACAGTAGATATTATCAATTATATGTATGCATACATGCCTATGTGTTGTGTGCCATAAAGCCACATCCAACATACGGTGTGCCTAACAGGGTTTTCAAGGTATGTGAGATCTTCAAGAGTGGCTTCAACCAGCATTACCACCCAACCAGTTTTCTTGGCCAAGTGGGGGATTCAAAGCCAGATCTCCTGAGTCCAACCCATCACTCTACCCAATACACCATGGCGGATCACAACCACATACAGACCAAGGATGCAGGCTGGATTTAGAACAACACAACAAAATGGAAACTTAGGAGACTTTTCACATCCTTGCTGTCACCTCGGTTTGGGGATCTAATTATATGACCACGTCTCCTTCTGAATGCAAAATTAACTAGAATTTGATTTTTTTTCTCTGCCTTTTCCCCAAGCTCTAGTTCATCTCCCGTTCACTGGGAATTAACGAGAATTTACGTTTGCCCGCATTCAAAAAGATATACCTGGCTCCAGCTTCCCGCAAACCATTCCACTTTGCCCAAACATGGCCCGTTGTTACAAGGCGTCGTTTCCGGCGGTCTGTTGTGGCCGCAACCCTCCAGCGGCAAACTGCTGATGTGGTTGGTCATGCAGACGACGGAACGTGTCCGGACACCAGAGCCGCACTCCGCTGAACACTTTCAAGGCAAGAGAGAAGAAAGAGATCTATCAGCTGCGTTGTGATTTTTTTTCTCTCTCATCAGAATGAGATGGAGGAAAGCATTGGAAGACGGCTGAATTGGAGGAACAGCAAGGGAAGGATATTTCAGTTCTGAGACCTGACCGTTCCACATTCTGCAATCAAGAAAGGATATGCAATTAAGGAAGAGAGGAATATATGAACTGTCCTCTGAAGATGCCGGCCACAGAGACTGGCGAAACATTAGGAAGAACAACCTTCAGAACACGGCCAAGAAGCCCGAAAAACCCACAACAACCAATATATGAACTGCTGGATAGGTCAGTGGCTCAGGTCTCAGAGTTTGGAAGTTCGATTCCCCACAGTGCCTTCTTGATAACGGCTCGACTCCGTGATCCATAGGGTCCCTTCCAGCTCAGCAGTTCAAAGGTGGTGGTGGTTATTATTATTTTTAATAACACTACATTGTTAAGGGATGTTAGACATTATTGTTTTGTTTAAAAAATAAATGGGAATTATACACCCAGCTTAAGGGCAGAGAAACTGGGAGGTCACTACATGCCTCCAACAGGAAATGAAATCCTCTACTGACTCCTTGGGGTCGGGTTCATCTTGAGCGATGGAAGCAGCACAGCTTCTCACTCGCCTCCTGAGAACTTGGGCTCAGACTAATGGCTGAACCCCATTAAAACAGATCGGCTGAATCAATGGAATCTGTTATTAGTGATGACATGCCATTCAACAGTTGTTTCAATGGGTCCCCTCTGGTTTCAACGAGGAATTGGATTCAAGACAAAGTTTGCTAATTGGCAGCTACTTTGTTTGGTTTTTTTTTTCCCCTGGAGCAGAGGTGCCAAACCAAGAAGGAAAACAACCCAGAAGATTTTGGAGAAAAAAATGTCTCCCTTTTTTTTTTTTTTTTTGGAATTTGGGGCTCAACTCAACCGGCCCTTCTTCATACTCCTCATTCCATGAACGGCTGGTCTAGCTTCTGCAGAACTGGTGCCATCCCCTATGGGTATTTCCCAGAACCGGAAGGTATCTGGGTTGGAGTGAGTTAATCGGAGATGGGGACTTGAGTCGTGGACTCTCTAGCAAGTGGGACTTAAGTCTCACCGGTGGCTTGACTCAGACTCAACCTGTTGTTGTTTTTTCAATGACTCAGACTCAACTTGAGACTCTGAACCCACCTCTCTCTTTTTTTGGGGACTATCCTATTCCTTCCTTCCCCTCACTTCTCCTTTCCCCCTTCATAAAGGGTAATCGGGGAGGGGGGGAATTGCAGTAGATTATTATTTTTATTATTATTTTTTACGGGAAAGGATTATTAAAAAATAAACCATTCAAATCCCAGCCGTGTGCCGGCTGCTGAAAGGCGTGTGAATAATTGAATTTGAACAGTTACACGCCGTTATATATTATATTTCGCACGGAAAGAAAGTCAGAAAAAATACGTATTTGTTACACAGAATAAAACATCTTATTTTGCAATTATATACGGGTGGGGGCAGGAGAAAGAGTGTGTGTGTCTAATTTCATTAGCGGCTCTGCAATGCTTCAAAAGCATATTATGGAACATTGCTAGGAGGTGAATAAGTGCCTCTGTGTTGAGCACGGTGGCAATGGGGAATAAGCCAAAGATAAGGCAAGGTGAAGGAAATTTCACCCTGCCCCAGGCATTTTGACCGACAACCTCCGTCTGTCTCGCCCAGCATAGCCAGGAGCAAGGATAAAAGGAAGTGTACCACAGGTTACAGGTTCTTTACTCAAGTGTGGTGAGACCAAGTTTGGGTCTGAATTTAGCGTCTATATAAAGAATATCTAGAGCAGTAGTTCTGAACCTTGAGTCCCCCGATGTTCTTGGACTGCAACTCCCAGAAATCCTGGTTGGACACAACTCATGGTGGCCATGTTTTTCTGGGCTTCTGGGAGTTTTTGGTCCAAGAACATCCGGGGACCCAAGGCTGGGAGCCACTGGTCTAGAAGGTCATGGAGATAACTCTAATATTAAGGCTTGTGTGCCAGGGTTGAGGGTGTAGGAAACCGTGCAAGCTGACCCAAGGGATGAGAACCTAGAAGAAGCTGTGGAGTCAGGAGAGTGAAGCCAGGTTTCAAGCTGGGATTCAGTAACAGGGGGAAAAGCTAGGAACCAGAGGTGATTTCAGCTTCCAAAATTTCTGAAAGAGTAGACTTCACTCCAGAATATTCTTTGGCTTGAGGACCTCTTAATTGTTTTACTTTTTTAAAATTAAAATAGAGGAGACGAGAAAACAAACAGCCAATACCACATCCAAACATCCTAATGAAATCTGGATGATGGCTAGGTGATAAGCACCAAGACTAGAAACCCAAATGTTGGCCACATTGTTAGCTCAACAATGGAACCTTCCAACAGCCCAGTAAGGTTGGCCAGGTTGATGGGCTGTAGGTCACTCAGTAAGATAATGGGGGCTAGATGTTGGATCCCTCAAGATCAGCGCAACGCACTGCAATGTCGTGGCTTATTTTATGATCCCTCATTTTTCCTCTTCTATGATTCATTTCAGCTGTGGTGAGTGAAGTGATGTACAGTGAGGATACAGGCAAATTTCATCTACATTCCAATGTGCCTTGCTTTTAAACAGAAAAAGATGTTAGTGTCCCCTTGTGCCTCTCTAGAGTCACACGTCCTTTGAGTGTTACGCTTTCCCAGACTTTTAAGACCTCGTCTTAGCAAGCGTTCCTTTGTTCTTCTCTCGGCGGAAAACAATTCTGAATTATTTTGCAAGCCTGCTTAAAATGCAAACCGCAAACGTAATAACGGAAGGATCGCCGGCGAACTGCACCCAACACAGTAGCAAAAGTTTGGAAGTCGTTAATATGAAGAAGTGATCACACACCCGCTGTTTCTCTTTTCTGACATTAAAATCCTCCACAGGGTAATCACAGCCCCCCATTCCTTACACTTGCACAAACGAGCAACACTGTCGCACACCGAGAGGGACCCACAAACACAACCTTTGGACTTTCTCCTGTAACAGAAATACATGAGTGCAATGAAATTCTAAAAAAAGAGAGAGAGAACTGGTCCACATTCATAACTTATCCTTCAAGCACCAAGCAAGAAGGTTTTAAAAGCCATTCTCTGGTGTACGAGGGAGGGAAAAGAATGAAGTCATATTTTTAAAACCTGTGTGGGAACAAGCAGTGCATTTGGAAGGAGAGAGAAAGAAAACTGAACCCGCAGCTAATCTGGATATTCAAGTGGGTGGATTTACACCAGCGTTGGATCTAATCCAGGGTGCTTTAGTGAGTTTATTTATACTCCACTGTCTTGGGGGATAATTCTTTCTCTTCCGTGCACATGAAATATCACTCCAATAAATTTCTAAAGAGACATTCATTCTTCTGTAAAAGAAAATAAATAAACACGCACACACCAACCGGGTTACTTCATGATTATAAATTAGAAATAGGATGCTCCTCCAACCAGCTCCTTTGAGGCTCTGCCTTCACAAACAAGGTGCGAGGGGAAGGGAAATTCCAGCTCGGCAGCAGGATCTGGTTGGCAGGATTTAAGAACCATAAAAATGATGGACTTGGAAATTTGGAAATGTCATCTCGTTCTCTCATCAGAGCCACCTGTGCCATCCAGACCACAAAATTGGCCCCAGATATGAAGCAGGTTGGGAGTGAAGGCAAGAGGAGAAGGGGATGAGAAAAGACGAGATGGTTGGACAGGGCCATCAAAGTGACCAACATGACTTTGACCCAACTCTTGGAGGCAGTGGAAGACAGGAGGACCTGACACACTCTGGTCCATGGGGTCACGAAGAGTCGGACAGGACTAAATGACTGAACAACAACAATGAAGCAGGTTGGTACCTCGCAAGGGTGTGGTGGCTGAAATTCCAGAAGGTCACCTCTAAAGAGGTCCACTTAGCTCTCTCTCTCTCTCTCTCTCTCTCTCTCTCTGGCTTCGTCTACATGGACGCCATGGCCAGCCCTACCGTTCGGTAGACCTTGAACACCTTTTTGTGGGGGAAACACACCACCCAGAATTCCATAGGTGGCCGTGCTGACCGGAGGATTCTAGGAGGGCAAAACTCAACGTTTTCATTGTTTTGACCCAAAGAGGTGGCCATTTCAGGCAGCCTGTTCTACATTCCCAAAGCGAGCTTGCTGCCTTCAAATATAGGGCAGCATTCTTTCCCCAAGGAAGAAATATTCCTTTGGAAAACAGTTGATCTCTCACTGAGTTGCGCTCTCTCTCCTTAAAACAGAAGGGAAAGGACTTACCCGGTCGCTCCATTCTGTAAGAAACCAGCTCTTGGCACAGGGCCCCAGGTCACAGTTCTCAATGTCATTGGGGCGTAGCTTCATGTTACATTCCTCATCGTCAACAACATCTCCCAGGTTGCTGACGCATTTGACGTCTCGGGTTCTTTGACCCACTCCACACGGCACGGAGCACTGGAAGAACAAGGAGGACCCCTTGAGTAAACTGCCCTCCATATAGAACACCGTGAATCCTCTAATGATCTCACCTGGCAAAGAGGACCATCTTCCACCCCCATACCAAAGTGCCTTCTTCATGAGACTGAATCTTTAGTCACTGGTCTTGGAGAGATGCTGTGCGTTTTCAAGACTGTTTTTTGTGCAAGTCTACAAGATGCTTAAAATGAGGGCGCGAGGAACTGTTGCTTTTATGCATGAACCAGTAAAATAATTAGCATTTCATGAGTTATGTCTTTGTGATCCGTCAGTCTGTCTTTTTATGTGAGTTGTGTGCGTGTGTGTGTTTAGGCTGACAGAGAGCAGAAGATACTAGTTTTGTGTAGGCAGGGGAGTTTGGTCACAAAGTATGTTTTTGTGCAATCTGGAGAAACCAGGATGGAGGACTTTTGCTAACAGCTTCGCGTTGAGCATGAGATATCTCAGATGGTTTAGAAAAATCCTTGAGATTCTATTTCACTATATCAAGATGGTCTTGCTTAAACTCTCAACAATGGGGAGAATCTGACACAGCTAATAATACATATGGGTCAGAAGTTACTTACCGAACCTTTGTGTAAGAAAAACACAAAGTTATAGGCTGTGCCAACTGGGAAACTGCTGGTAATGTTCTCCTGATCCTTGGGAGATTCAGGATCATCAGGATGCCTAATTTTTGCTTACCAACAGGGTGGAGAATTTTGGACACTGCTCAGTTTTTTTAGGGGAGTCACTTAAAGTACACATTAAAGAAGGCCACTTACGGGTGAGAAAGCTGAAAAGGGTGTGAAACATCATTCACCAGACATTTCCAAGGGCTCCTGAATTTGTAACAAAATATTTAAGGGAAAGAACCAAAAATCTGTAAAGCCAAAATAATGGTTTGGGAAATGTTGGATACTGATAAACGGTTGCATTTCAGAGGTTAAATCATAGAATCATAGAATAATTGAGTTGGAAAGGACCTATAAGATCATCGAGTACGATCCTCTGCTCAAGGCAGGAATCCAAATAAAAGCAGATTTGACAGAGGATGGAATAATTTTCCCTTGAATGCCTCCAGCATTGGAGTGCTCACCAATGGTTCCATTGTCATACTACTCTAACAGTCAGGAAGTTTTTCCTGGTATTCAACCAAAATCTGGCTTCCTGTAGATTGAGCCCATTATTACATATCCTGCACTCTGGGATGATTGAGAACTGATCCTGCCCCTCCTCTGTATGACCACCTTTCAAAGTATCTTCTTTTCTCTGGGCTAAACATGCCCAGTTCTTTCAGTCTTTCCTCACAGCGCCTGGTTGCGTTTATGCTTCAAAAAAAAGAACATGTAGCTCTTGGAACTGAATTTTGACATCAGATTTAGAAATGTGCTTGCTTTTTATTAGAAAATGAGGGTAACGATGATCATGATAATCAATAGCAACAGCAGTAGCATGCACCTAGAGCTGCTGGTCATTATTATTTGCAAAAATTAAAAACAAACATGGAAATCATTTTGAATGAAATGGCAAATAAAAAAAAATTAAGATGGCATCCTTTAATGTCAACTGGCAAACAAGGCTGATGATATTCAATGAAACCTGGATCAAGGTTGAGTAAAGGATTCTGTACACCATATCTCTCAGGTTCTACCATCGCATTTCAGATTTTACTGGATTCAGATTTTCACCTAATCTTTGGATGACAAATTCCACTTCCCAGTAACGTATCATGATGGGCTATTTGTGCATTCAGAGGAAAGTCCACGAACATTTGCATATTCTAATCTTGTTAAGAAGAAAAGCAAGTGGAATAATGTGGAACAGATGACATCATCTCCTTCCTCACTGCAACCTTCGCCCCTGACTGGAGCATGCCAAAAATTAAATTGGAATAAATCGGAGTGTGCCAAAATTAAAAACACCACCTTCTGTCTTCAGAATCCAAGATCAAAGACAAATCAATTTAGTTAGTTAGTTAGTTTAATGTCATGATCAAGTGGCCACGTTTTTGAGTCACGTGTTCGATTTCCACATCAGGAATGCTTTTCCGATCAAAATTGGGGACCTCCTGGAATTCAAAAGCGGACACAGATCAAAGCTCGATTGGAAGAGCACACTGCTCCCTCAAACACTATCCTTGCCCTCAAACACTATCCTCCCAGGTTTTACAGATGTGCTTGTTTTGAACAAAGCCACCTTCCTTATGGAAGGCTTTCCTTTCTTCCCAGAGGACAATCCAACTATCTTATGAGTTATATGCAAAGTTTTGTAAGGGAAATCTCCATTGATAAGAAGAACGGTCTCAGAGAAGGAATCTTTTTGCAAATGAAGGCTCTCCCTCCATGAAGCATGGAATTAAACACTGGATATTATTCCCTAGTGCCATTGGCTTGAGAGAATATGAACATAAACTCGAAACTAGAGTTTTGGCACTGTGAGTCATCCCTGTGTACCTGTATCCCCAGATTGGTCAGGCCATTCTGCACTGCTCCTTAAAATAAAAACCTTTCATTTGGGGACTAGGGTTCTGGTGTTGGAGGGTAATTTATTGGGTGGTGGGTGGGTTTGATGGTGTGAATCGTTCCTGTTTACCGATGTCCATTCTGTCCGAATTTGCCATTCGCTGCAGATCTTCAGCTGGCACGTACTTGTTGTCTCGGGTTTCTCCAGGTGATGGCAACGGTAGGGCTGGATGGTCAAGGTGCGGTTGGCGTAGATCTGCCGGCACAGGACTTGACGATGCTGCATCCCGAGACCACAGGTCTTACTGCATTCTGACCATTCCCCTATATCCCAGCTAAGAGAGTAGAGAGGGGGGAAGGGGGAAAAAAACAACAGGACTATAATCTCTGGTGTTCCATCTATTTGCTACAGCAAAGAACATAGAAAGTTCAACTTGAGTTCAAATGGCATCAGATAGAAGCTGCTTTATGGGGACCCAAATAGCTTGCTGAGACCATTTCCGGTCATGCATCTCCAAAATGTCTTTGAAAGTTATGCCATTGGGAAAATCTAACATAGACATCACCAACAGACCCAAGTTTTCAATGCTCTGGTGAGCTTCAACCCACACAGAAATAGGTACAGTCGTGCCCCGCTTTACGATTACCCCTCATTACGAAGAATCTGCTTCACGACGTTTTTGCTATTGCAAAACGATGGCCTAAATAGGATTATTTCGCTTTGCGATGATCGGTTCCCTGCTTCAGGAACTGATTCTTCACAAAATGATTTTTTTTAACAGCTGATCGGTGGTTTCAAAATGGAAAATGAAGTCTATATTAAAAGCATAAAATATCAACAGCATTATCTTACAAAGCTGGGCAAGGGAAGATATTACAGGGTTCCTCTTCTGGAGTGGGTTTGGTATTGCTGTCACAGTAACTCTCAGAGACTTCCTCATGCGTGTTTCTGTTTACACAGCGGAAGATAGGATACTGTGAGCCTGGGGGCGATAAGGAAAGAAGAGTAGGCAATTAGAAAGTCAGCAAAAATATCAATTTAATGGCAGCTGTATATTTATTTATGGATGGCCTGAGAGGGTATTGCCAACATGCATGACTTTTGCCTGTGCACTTAACGTGTGTGGATGGAATATCGTTTCCCTTAACTGCTAGACGATCACAATAGTCGGCCAGTTTTCGTAAAAGTCCATTTTCACTGACTAATAAAAAGAATTGTGTGACAACTCTCCCCACCTCTCTCCCAACATTAATAATTTCTTTCCAAAACTGTCTAAATGCGCATCTTCAACTGCAGTCCATTGATTGCTCTATAATATATCTGTCTGCCTTCAAGATACAGCAAAACTCTTTCCTGCACCTTCAGCAACAGACAAACATAGCTACACATTTGGAGCTTGTTCATTGTTGTTGAAACTCATTGGGTTGGATATTGAGACTTATTCTGCCTGAAACTAGGACCACTTGGGTCATCAGGATCTCCGTTAGCCAGGCTTCACTTGCCCCGCTGACTGCAATGGGTGATTAGGTCCAGATTAACCAACCTTCTTGAAATCAGCTTGATTATTGCAGCAAGTGTGTTCTGAGTTACGAAATCTGTCCCCTCTTTCTCTTTTCCCCCCTAGTGTTTTGTCCTGTCTTTGTTATGGCCAGTGGCTAAAAGAAATGCATTTGAACGGAATCACAGAACAAAAGATGATTAGCTTCCACTGTGGTGGAAACCATGCCCAAGTCTTCAGGATGGGGTTATATTGCTCTATCACATCAAGGAACTGATCCTCGGGTTTTTTTTCATGAATCTCAGCAGGGAGTTTTGTAATTTCCCTCAATAGGCCTTGGAGTAAATCCCCATCTCTGAATTTAAACCAAAGAGGGTTGTTCATCCTTGCCAACTTCTCCAGGGCCTGGAACTTAGACCAAGTAGGATAATCTTCCTAGTCAAAATATGACACATGCTTGGAGGCCTGCCAGCTCTAAAGTATATTTTGATAACCAGACCGCAGTTCTCAGGAGGTAGGAAAGAATCTGAAGCCTTCTGGTCTCCATTTACAGGCAGTGCACTCTGCTAAAAGGTGAAGCCAGAGTTTAGAAACGCAGCTTGCTTCAAATAAGAGGGCCCAGAATCTGCACGCTAGCAGCGACACTAGCTGTGTAAGATAAGGACCTGCAGTTAAGAATGGGAAGACATTTCACAAAAGGTTCATTTAAGTCCATGAGATGCTATCCTGGCATCAGGGGGGCAAGTCCTGGTGATGTCACAGAGGCATGAGAAGGAAGCCCAAGCTTCTCCTGGGCCAACGGACTGTGGAAATGCATATATGGGGAATGCAGGTAAAAGGGCATCAAATCAGTGTTAAACCTGGCTAACCACATAGTACACTGATATTAGGGCTCATGCAAAGCTCACTACCAGCCCTCTGGGAACTTGTTACTGTGATTTCACACCCACCCATACACACACACACACACACACACACACCTGTCATAAGCCAGTGCCTCCCCCCAATCTTGGATCCCCAGATAGTTTTGGACTACAACTCCCAGAAATCCTGGCCAGCACCATTTGTGATGAAGTCTTCTGGGAGTTTTAGTCCAAGAACATCTGGGGACCCAACGTTGGGTTCCAGAGCTCCATTGTCATAGTTGCAGAGAGAGAAAGTCAGCACAACTGGAGTTTCAAGTTTGAGACCCATGGCTTCCTCCAGTGAATGAAAAAATAAAACACTGCGCATCCAGCAGCGGCTTGATTTCCATTTGTTTCCGCTAAAACGATCACAAAGGTCTTCCGCGTGAGCGGAGGGAGGGTCTCAATGCAAACATCGCAGCTGTCCTGAATTGTACTAATTGCAGTTTGACATAGAACAAAGAAAGAAAAGGGAAAGTTATTGACTGGCTCTGAAAGGAAGGGAATCGGTGCATTCTTTGCCAAAGGAAAATGCGATTTATTCGGTAACATATTCAAGCAGGAAAGCTTTTCATCATCACCCATGCTAACGTCTGATTATTTCAATTCTAGGGCTGTTTCTCCCCTTCCCTGGTCAAGTTGGCACCAAGCACGCAACTTTAGTGGCTCTTCTTGTGAGCCCTCAACATGCTATTTGTGACCAAAGCAGTGAACCATCCCATCATATTTTCATAGCGACCCACGTTTCCTCGTTATACGGCAACTGGGCCCCGAGGAACAGTTGTGCGCTCAAGGGGCAGCCTGTGGGAGGAGAGTGGAAGGGGCTCCCTTCACAAGAGCTTTTGAAGAACTCCTAGCCGCCGTTATTTCTTTCCAGGGGTTACAAACGGCACCAACATTTTGCCTTGGGCAAGTGGAGGGAAGGTGGGGGGTGGGGGTCCAGGATGGCCCTGACCAGTTAGCTGGGGGGGGGAGTTTTCCTAGTTGTGACGCTGGAATGGATGAAACTGTATCTTGGTCAACACAAACGGATCAGAGACCAAAGTAGGCCAGCCAAGACTATTGCTGGGGGAGTTTTCCTAGTTGTCACGCCGGCATGGATGAAACTGTATCTTGGCCAACACAAACGGAACAGAGACCAAAGTAGGCCAGCCAAGACTATTTGCTTTACGGGAGGAAGATATCTCTCTTTTTCACCTCACCCCTCCGAGTAGGAAAGAAATACCTACCCTTACTTTTCCCAAACATTTTCCTATAAATTAACACATTTGAGATGAGCTAGGACAGAAAGGAAGCGTCTCTGGGGAGAACGTCTGGCTTATATTCGAGGAGAAACGATGTGGGAAATTGGACATCTTCCCCAAAAAGGCCTTCATTCCCAGAATGCTTGGGAATAAATACTACATCCAAGACCTTAGCATGGCCATGAGCGACGGCAGCTGCCAGCTGGTGGAGGCAAAGAGAAGCCCCACCTCCTTGGGATTCAAATTACGAGAGAAATCCCATCATGGCTGTGTTCTAATGTCACTGACCCAATGACAGCCGTCCAAAGTGACCCACCCAATATGCCGATGAAGTACCGATATGAAGTGGCTTTACGTTTGCCATAAGGGTGAATTTTGGCCGTCCTGAAATATCAACCCACCACCATGTCCACCCTCTTAATCACAAGCTCGTTATTTTTCATGGGTGGTAAATTCAGGCAACACAGTTGTTATTCTCTTCCCCTACTGCACGCCCCACCTGCAGCACACTGAGATTCTCCAGGGTGGAATAGAGTCTAATAGAATCGTAGAATTGCAGAGCTGAAAGGACCCTATCAAGGATCATCAAGTAGATATATGCCAACTCTGCCTGCCACGGGGCTGACTGCTTACCTTTCCCACACGTCGTGGTGCATTCGGTCATCCCGAGCAGCTTCCAGTTGTGCTCTCGGCTGTGTCGTGGCGGCTGACCGGCAGGCACTTGGTTGTCCGGCAGGTGAGAAGGAAATCTTCCGGGCTGAATCACTGGGAAGCTCCCCACAGGTTGTCCGGCGTGAGTGCCGGTCTCCTGATGCAAAGTCTCCTCCTCGTAATTCACGCTCTCCGACACGTCCAACTGGCCATTGAAGGGTTCCCCTGGGGACGTAGAAGCATGTGTGCAGGAAAATGAGCGAGTGTTTAACTCAACTAAGAGCCAAAAATGAAGGCATTGTGGCAAAAAACCCTCCCACAACAACCTGGGATTTTGTGGAATATTCTAGCAACACAATGCAAGTCTGTATAGACATCCAGAGAGGCTACATGGTTTGTTTTTTTCCAAACAAGACACCACATTTGTCACCAAGCAGGCCATTTAGCATTCTTGTTATGGCACACAGCATCATTTAAAACTGCCTTGCATGGCAAATTAATCTAACTCAGCAGTGCAGAGTCCGTACCTTGTGTCTCTGGAAGCTTCAGGGGCAATCCCATTTAAAAAAAAACAGAACAGTAATAGCTTACTAGCATTTGAGGGTACTGGGGGAATTATGAGCAACGATATGAAGGAAATCAAATGAATTGGAATTGCCTGAGACACCAATAACCCATTCAGTGCTTCAAATTCTTACATGATGTTTGGGACAAATCACACAGTTTTGCGAAACTAAATAAGCAATCCTTTGTAACAAAAATTTTTACATGAAAGCATCGCTCTCTCCAAAGCAAAAACCTTCACATATGGTCATGAAATCCCTCATCATCCTTGCTAGCAAGGGGCAGCATAGGAATGGACAGTCCCCTCCCAAATCTGGGGGATCTGGTGCCCCCACCCAATCCCATGAGTTGTCCCTGCTTGCTAAAGAGGAGGTGAAGGGTGCAGTCTCTCATCCTTGCCTGCAATGAATGAGATAAGAGGAGATTTACTTCCCTAGTCCAGAGGGAAAGAATCATACTGCCTTACCTGGCCGTCTAAGAAGAGGGACCTGAGGGCTAATAACATTGGGACCTGGAATGATGTACTCATAATGTATGCCTGGGTTGGGCTGTTGATGGATCATCTAAGAGAAGAAAGATTAAATAAGTGTGTGGGAAGAAGGTTCACCAAAGCAAGTAAATCAACTGAAGATCTCGCCAAGACTTCTACGTCTACATTTGGAAATATGAGCTACAGGAGTTTCTAATTCATTCTGACCTAGGCATGCAACAAATACTGGCTAAATTCCACACTCTTGTCAATTCAGTCTGTCTAGACACAATGCAACGCTTTGCTAAGGATTTTTAAAGCCATATTCTCCCAATTGAGAGCAAAGCAACAAATTCTTCTTCTCTCCCAAGGTCTTTGGAGTTTGTGCAAAACTCCTGTGCCCTTTCCCTTGTGCAAAGCACAAACCCAGCAAGCACAGATGGACTAGTTGATTGTCAGGAATGAGACAAGCAACCCATCTGGTGCTTCAGATTCTTAAATACAGCACCCTTCATCCTAGTTTTGGGCACTTATTGCATAGATTGTTTAATGTTGTGCAAAAACAACAAGAAAACCAAGCAATTTTGTGCAAAAACTGGCATAAAGTAGACCATTTAGTCCCTTTTCTTCCAGCAGAAGATGCTTCCTCCCAAACAACAACAACAACATATCATTGGCCTTATTAGCTTACCTGTTATGGTCAACATGTCAAAACGTTCTATGTTCATTTACCCCTTAAAAAATTAATCAAACAGTCCAATAAGTTTTACTTATTTAGCAATCTGTATTTCCATTTTTCTGTCTTACCTTCTTTAACTTTACTTATTTTACTTTATTTCTATATTTTAAATTAATGAGAGAGAATACAACAAAACTGGGCTTAGCAGTAAAAAAACATAATGGTGCCATTTTCCCTCCTTACATAGACATCCAAGATTTCATTTGTTGGACCATCTGCTAAAAAGGACTCCCCAGCAGTACTTGAAATTTCATTGGGACGCTTGTAGGTGAACATCGTTCCCCCTCCTTCGTATCTTCCAGGACGATCAATTGCCCAGTTCCCATTGATTATGGATCTTCCTGATCGACTCCGCAGTGCTGTAAGGAAAAAAAAATAAGCAGAAGAGAATGAAATGGATTATACACAACATGTATATGCAGTTGCACATGCACACACACAGAGATTACTTTGCATCACAGGTACACATCAACACTGAACACAACATAGTTGTTCTCATCATATTTCATGCTTTGAAAAGGAAGATAACAACAACAACAAAAAGGGGATTTAGAGATCTATGCAACCAATGAGTAGGCTGGGATCCAAATTAAGTTTTGGGAATCTCTTACAAAGGAAGAACCAGAGAAAGCCTCCAAGCAACCAAGATTTCTGAGGAACCCATCTCAGGAGCTGAATTTTCAAGAAGTGCATGACCCTGAGTTCACGCAAGTGTTCTCGCTGGCCACTTCTTGCCCTTCATAATGCAGTCATCTCTCCTGTGATCTGTCCATGGTCCTGACCGTTAGCCCACTCCTTGTCCTTCTTGAGCTATGGATCCTACAGACATCCTTCCTAATCGTTGGTACCAAATTTCACTACTTCTTGGAAGGAAGGTTTTTCCCATGGCCATACTCCACAACTGGACGGTAGCCACTCCATAGAGGGGAGATGAGAATGCAACCATCATCTAGAAGAAGCCAACCCCTTCCTGAGTCAGACAACCTCTTGAAGGCCACATCCCATCAAGGTGATATGATAGTGATGAGAAAGGCCAAAGTCAGCAATGGGTAAGACAAAAGTCAATGCTGTGGAGGTCCCCCCTTTTCTTCCTCTATCCTTACTTTTCCTCGATGGCTAGCAGGGTGCCAAGACAGCAAATATTGACTCTCACCAGAGATCAGATATTTCTCTTGTAGAAGGCTTTCAAAGTAAGCCAAGGCACACAAACAGCTCTAGAGGTCCTGAGATATATAGGTAGATCAGATTAGCTTGTTTCAAATACACCACTTTGAACACATCATTAGCATCTGATTTGCGCTAATAAACATGGTTGGGCAGAATTAGTAATTGGACAGGAAGACTACCAGATCATACTGGGGACTTCCAGAGAGGTCAGCGTCCTGCCTGAAACACAGGGTGGCCATTGCTACAGGCCAGAATCATCAACGGTAACCTAGATGGGCCAACGACAGTAATACTAGGCTGGCTGGACCAACAGTCTGATTCAGTGGCCAAAGTCCTGTTGCTTAGCACAGTAAGGTCTGATTCAGTGGCTAAAATCCTGTTGCTTAGCACAGTAAGCCACCGGAATCATTGGGGATTTGGTAAGTTCCATTGATTTAAATGGGCCTTCTCTAACTATGACTTTATGCTAAAGTAAGTAGCCCCATTTCACTCAATGTATGAATCAAGTCACTAAATCCTCATTGATTCAGTAGGCCTACTTTGGTGCTATTTACTATGCTAAGCAAGAGGATCTTGGCCAGTATAAATCAGATTTCAACATTCCTATGAATTTCAGAAGTTCTCCTCTTCAGGTTTTACCCTGTCTTCTTTTCCTAGGCTTACTGAATCAATGGGGATTTAGAGAGTCAACCCTTCTATAAGCACCACTGACTCAACGGGCTTACTCTACTGCAATTTATTTTGCTAAGCAACAGGACTTAGGCCAGTGTAAGGAAGCTGACTGTGTCCCTAAATGCAAATAAAATCTTTTGACTTCCTTTTTATAAGTAGCACCTCTGCAAGAGAAGGAGTTAATCTGAAGCCTTTTGTGTGTTGTTTCTGTATCACTGACACGGGAGCAGTGAATTGCTAACATGGGAATCAAACCATCAGCTGCACTTTTTCCCTTTCCAATGATAAGATCCACACACGGTTGTCAGAAAAAGAAGAAAATGCTAAATTGCTTGAAACAATAGCTTACAGTATGTAAGTTACTGCTTATACTCAGTGTGATTTCATTTGAACACCTGCATTACAGATCTACTTGGCTAGCTTTTTTCTTGGCCTGGATTTTACCAAAAAAATAAAAAATCTTTAATACGCAATACATCTTACAAGAGGTTTAATTTTTACGTTCTTTTATTAGTCCCTCATGCACTTTCTTGGTTTGTTCATTTTTAAAGCAGAGGCATTTTTTTAAATGGTGAGTTTCCCATGGACTTGAACAAATATGAAATCTGTGCACAAAAATTGGTCTTATTAGAGTTTTTCAATGTTAGCTTGTTCTAAAACCCATAAAAATGTTCCCATTTACCGGGTTTGGATAGAGAATGGCCATGCTGGGCAGGCCACATCTGAGTGGTGTAGTCATTTGATCACATCACCCTAAGCATCGATGCGCAATGGGAACATGCCAGGAAGTTGGATGGAAAGAGCTGGAGCACGCATAGTTTTGCTTCATTTCCTGAAAGAACAGGAATTGGAGGAAAGCTGGGCATGTTCTAGTTATTCAACTAATTTTAGAAATTCTCTAAATTGAACTAGAATGCCCACAAAAACATAACCCATAATGAGGGACAGAGCATAGCAAACAAACTGGAAAGGAAAGGAACTAAGCAGAGTTCTTCAACCTCATCCATCTTCCAAAATGATCACTTTTCTCCGTTTTCCTTTCCTTTCTTAAAAAAAAAAAATCTTTGTGCATTCAACCTGTCTCCTGTCCTACTTCCAGATCTGGTTTACAATTTGGAAACCCGCCCAAGTTTTTTACAATATTCAGCTCTATTCTTGTAATGGGGAAAGCTAATAAGTAATTTAACTTTACCGCTTTTCCACAATGTAAAAGCCATCAAGGTTTTAATTTTAAAAGTATGAAATGGGAATCTTTTCGCCCTCGCAGGGTTTATTAGCTTCGCTATTAAATGTTCCAGACACATAATTGGTTGCGATTTGGCAACAGAAAAAAAGATCCGACATTTTCGTACTGTCCAAAAATCACTGGCATTGCGTTTATACAGGATTTTTTTAAAAAAAAATGTTCTTCACTCCTCAATCCAGCTCCAACGTGCACACATGTTACTTTCCGGAAACGCTTCCAACATTTGGAATCTCCAAAGAAATCAACTTGGCTTTCGGCATACCGGCAATTATGGGCTACATTCAAGATGTAATCCAGCTTATTCGCTCTTCTGAAGTCTGGGGTGTCGCTCGGTTGCAGAAGGTTCCCACACTCAGCCCCCAGCATCTCCCAATAAGGCAAGAATCATCCCTGAGATTCTTGATAGTTGCTGCCAGTCAGAGCTGACAATACAGGGCTATATGGAGCAATAGTCTGAGACCATGTTTCTAGGGAGGAGAACTTAGCATGCTGGGAAACACAGCCTATATTTCAAAGACATGAGACATCTTTTAAATTGAATCATTTACTTATTTATAACCTGTTTTTCAAAAACTACCTGTCATTTCATTGGGAATTCCCAGGTTGTGTGAGAGCCATTAAACCATATGTGGCACCGAAGCCATTCCGATTTGGCCATTGGACTAATTTCAAAAAGCTCTCCGATTAATTGTAGGAAGAGATGAGTTCCAAATAACTAGTTACTTCTTCATTCCTTTTTTTTCCATTTGGGAAGGTGTAACCATTACATTGCTATACTTTCTCAAGTTTAATTGCATTCCTTTTCTAAGGTCACTGAAGCTTTTTAATTACTCTAGTTGCAGAGATATGACCTCATTAAGTAGTCGGACAAGTTGGGTTACGCTGTTGCCCTTGCCACAACAATAAAAATATCAGTATGAAAATTAAACAATATAAAAAAGGGAAATAATGGAGGAGTTTTCCATTCAATGCATCATTAACAAAGACGTGGTTTTTACTAATAAGCTAGGGAAAGCTTATAAATGAGTGTCTGCCAAGGTTTCTGAGTGCTCCCAGAGTGAAGGAATGGAGGCGGTGAAAAGTTCCTCTGTTTTAAGACAGGAGAAGGTCTGGTCTAGGAACCACTGATGGGTCGTCATGGTGGGAGAACTTTCTTTTTCCTACCTAGAATGTAAATGAAGTGAAACGATGATGAAGGTGATGAAAACAAAGGAAATCTCTCTCTCTCTCTCTCTCTCTCTCTCTCTGTGTGTGTGTGTATGTGTTTTACAAGAGTTAGTTTTAAGACTGGCTTCTCACTTTTGAGTATTTGAACGTTGGTTTGGAAGAACGTGTTTTTCAAAACGTACTTGAGAGACAAGCTTGGTTCTTGGTTTCTCGTGCATAACGCACGTAACAGCATGCCATGTTACTTATCTGAAATTGATGCTGGTTTATTATATCGAGAGATATCCTCCATCCACACGCACAGAGGGCAGATGCAAAATTATGGGGGCCTACTATACATATTTATAAGGTAGAGAAAGCTTTCAAATGAATCTTTCCTGCCACAGAATCCGTGGCTAGAGGGGGGGCGGAGGAGAAATAATCAGCTCGATCTTCAGTGTTGCAGATAAATCGGCACTGGAAAATTTAAGGGTGATTGGCTTGATTTGGATTAGAGAGCCTCTAAGAGGCCAGTTTAGTGCATTTCAGGCCAGCTGCTGATTAACGGCTTCGCATGTCAGCCGGGAGGCATGCCAGCAATTTTGCAGGTAACTCCTCCAGCCATGGGTAACTTAATCTCTTTTGTAGAATCCGAAGCTCATGTTGGGGGGGAAATGGGAAAAGAAGTTTGTTTTAAAGAAAGAGAGTAGAGGCCTTTCTCGATATGCAAAGGAGATAAATGGAAGAGAGCCCACAAACATCCATGACTTTTCCACTCCTGAAGTGACACCTGCACATTCGCGGCTGAGAGCTAGTGGCACCTCCTTTCTATCCGCATTTTGCTGCTCAGTGAGATTGGGTGCATCTTTCGGCCTTCATGTTGCGTTCAAACTGACGTCTTGCCCCCTTCTGGAGCTGCAAACAGCCACAAAAGTTGCACATTGAATGCAGATTCAGGGGGGGATGTGTTCCTTCCAAATGGTGTCGGAATAAACTCTTTGATACTCCAGATTTGTTCAGGAGAAGCTCCTCCAGAGGAGCCCTCATCTCCTTTGAAGAACTGATCAGAGTGAAGCTGATTCAGAATTCAGAAAGCAGCCTTCCACTCCGAGAATGAGGGGCTCTCGG